ATAGCAACAGTAGTGAGGTTGGTGCAGGATCCATTAGTGTTTCGTTCTGCTGTGCATAAGGTTGCTATGAGTCGGCACTGACTCAATGGCACCTAACAACAACAACAACAACAACAACAACAACAACAAAGCAGCTGGGGGATCCAAGATATTTACATCCCAGAGGGCAACTGAGGGTGAAGGATTCCAATATTCCAGGGCTGGCCAGAACCATTTCTGTGGGTCTGGAGCCGATCACACCTGATTCCAGGTGCCAAGGTTCATGCTGCTAGTTCCCAACCCACTTTGTAGAATCACAATTGCAGCTACCACTATGGAGCTCTGACCACTGGGAATGTCAGAGCTTCAGTGGAGGTGGACGTGGTTGAGGGTTGGCCAAAAATCTGGTCGCCAGGGGAGAGGGGAATCAGAAAAAAATTGCACCTTTATCTCCAGAATTTACCGGTATGTTTATGTAATACTAATTTTCTGTCTGTCCCTGAAGCCATTCATAAAAGATTAAGATGGCGGCACAACACCTGGTCAGCTGGCATGGGTCACCAATCTGTCTCCTATTTTTTGCCATGTCAGTTCAGCTTCCTCTCCTAGTAAGTATGCAGTATTAAGTATTGTTAAGTATTAGTGTTCTCCATCTCTTCACTCGAATCTCGGGGTTCTAGAACTGTCATCTAAATCTGTCTCATTTGCTTTTCTTTATCTTCATTTTTGAAGATCTGTATAGTGTTTCTGCCTAGTCTGCCATCTTGCAGTCTCCCTGCTTTAAGATTTTTATTTTCAAGAATATGTCAACAATTCCCAGACATCAACTAGAAACAGCTCTGGACTGGACTGAAGTATCAGCTTCCCTTTTTCCTATATGGTTTATTTCTGTTTTGCTAGGCCATTACTCATCATATACATAACTTTATCCTTTGAAAATACATAACTAGGATATGTTGTTTATATTAAGAAAGTTATGGTACATTTGGATTCCTCCAACTTGCCACCTGCATGTAATTATTTCTTTAGAATATGTCACCACCTGTTCTAAGGACACGGCGTTAAAAACATCCCATCCAAGTGAGTTTCTAGAGTTCACAGGAAAGAAAATTCTTATGAAATAGTTTCACATGCCTTTCCCCATAAACAACAGAAGCTGGATATTGCTTTAGTCTCCTAAGCTAATTGCTAGAGGAACATTTCCATTGTCACAAATGAAGTCATTCATTCAAATTTCTTTAAAAAAAAAATGCTCTCAAGTTCTAAAAGACCTATCACAAAGAAATGTGATTGTGGTTGAATAGGGAAGTCTTTTCTTCCTTTTACTTCTGAAATGAATAGTTTCAAATCCTTTTAAGGAATTTGGGGGCATTGCAATGTGAACAAAGGATATGAATGACAAATGTCATCATCCAACTCATTGTTTAAGCTCTGTGAGATGATTATGAGCTATTTCATTTAGCCTCCATATAATGCAAGAGACTAGGAAGCAACCAAGAGTTCTTACTTTTTAATTGTATCTGGTCTACTGACATGTTTGGTAAAATAATCTCTAGGTAAGGGCTATGGGAGTAAGAGCCATAAGAAGTGGTAATATCCTAACAACTTTATTTTCTATTAACAGAAAGGAAAGATTATCCATAAGAGATGCTTCTTTATAAAAATGGCAAAGGGATCAGCATGTTCAATATGAGAGTCTATTGCCTTCTCTTTTTGTTGTTATATTCACTTACCTGAAGACAAGGTACTGCCTTTTAACATGGAATAGCCATTTAACACAAGTTCACACATGGCCGTGGCTTATAATTCTGGCTGCAGCTGAGGAGCTTTAAAAAAATCCAGAAGACTCAACTGAATAAGAATCCTACAGTGGTGCATGTTGTTGTTAAGTGCTGTCGAGTCTATTCGGACTCATAGCGGCTCTGTATGGGGTTTCTGAGGAGCAACTGGCGGGCGGGTTTGAACCACCAACCTTGTGTTTCCCAGTCCATTGCTGACCCTACAATGCTACACCAGGAGTCCAAAGTAGGACATAGTTTTTTTTGTTAGAACAACTCAGCAAAATAAAATTCCGGCTTATTGTTGGACGACATTGTTTCACACATACATCAAACAGGCCCACAAAAATAAACAGCAACTTCATAGACAAAAAAAGGAAAAGAAACTTTATCTTTGGCCTTTTTTAACCATCTCATACAAACCAACTACTTACAGTACAGCTAAGTACATACACTTCGCTATTAAAAGATTCACTGGACAAATTATTGAATGATGCAGAATGCATCAAGAAAAGATGGAAGGAATACACAGAGTCATTGTACCAAAAGGAAATGGTTAATGTTCAACCATTTCA